ACAGATCGTGTATCATCGCAAGCATGTATCAACAGCTGATGGTATCATCTCTGGTATCAAGGCGGCCTATGAATTGAGAGATCTAGGCGATACAGAGTGGTTTTTGGGTATCCGGATCATTCGCGATCGGAAAATGGGAAAACTTTGGTTAGCACATGATACCTACATTGAGAAGATTGCAAAGAAGTTTAATCTCAATAATGGCAACGCATGCACACCGTTACCAATCATGGAATTCGTGAAATATGATGGAACTGCTACTATCACATTCATACGAATCTATCAAGAAAAGGTAGGATCAGTGCTATATACCGCAATCACAGTTAGAGCAGATGTCGCATTCGCAGCATCGCAACTCAGTCACTTTCTAACTAACCCATCTCCGGATCACATGAAAGCAGTTGATCACTGTATTCGGTATCTCTGGAACACGAGATACTACTCAATTGGATACTGTCGAGAACAGATCCCACAGCTTTTGTCATTTTCAGACGCCTCATTCGCCGACGACAAGGAATCACGAAGATCATCTCAAGGTTTCGTGATCTCATTGTTCGGTGGACCAGTAGTATGGAAAGCTTCAAGACAAGATACCATCACTACTTCCACCACCGAAGCCGAATTACTTGGTGTCGAGCGCACATCAAAAGAGACACTAGCTACCCTTCGATTTCTCAAAGAGATCAATCTTGTAGTCAAGCAACCAGTCACGATCTTCTGCGACAACCAGCAAACGATCAGATTAGTAGTAGGTGAGAACGAAAGGATCACTACTAAGCTGAGACACGTCGATATACAGAACATGTGGCTACGTCAGGAATATTCAAAAGGGAGTTTCCATCTCACATATTTGCCCACAGCAGAGATGACAGCAGATGGATTAACTAAGAACTTATCACGACAAAAGTTCAATCACTTTATATCCCTCCTAAACCTACAAGACGTGAGCACCAGGATCAACAAGATCAAACGACATATTTTCCTTCAAGAGCACGCTTCTTTGTAGCGAATTCAATCTCGAGCTGCATCAATTCAAGCTTCCGCTTCTTCTCAGCAAGCTCGTCACCAGAGTCAACCACGTCCCCTTCACCAACAACATTATACTCATCATCGAGATCACTATCAAATTCAACCCTCCTTTCTTTACCCTTCGAAGCAGCGCGAGCAGGCTGTGACCAAGTCTTAGGACTCGCCGCAGGAACTCTCGTATCAACCTTCCAACGCTTTACCGCAGGAGATTGAGGAGCAGGAGAGGATCTCCGTTTCCTAGTCGGAGAGGGAGGTAATGATCTCGTGGCGGGGGAAGGACGAACGGATGATCGCGACGATCGAGCAGGGGGAGGAGACATAACCTGTGTTGGTGATGAGAGAGAGTCAAGATCGATGAACTCGCTATCCTCTTTAGTCATCGCCAACATAACCGTCATCGCAATACGGGCCGATTTCTGGTTCGGGACAGTCCTCTAAAGAGTATGTCAGCAGATCACAACGAGATAAAAAAGATCAGAACATACCTTTCCAGGAAGTACCACGAACTCAGGATCGCAAAGCTCCAACAGTCGAACACCCAAAGGTCTCAAATACACCGGGAGAGGTGTACAAGTGTGCGTGGTGCACTTCCAGCACCGAAGAGAAGACGCATTTCTCCGCTTGAAACACTTGCCATGTTCCTCATGACGACCAGAGAGAAGAGAACGAACACACTCCGTACAGGGAACAGCGTTTTGCGCACCCTTATTCCTAAGATCACGCTTTGGGCCCTTCCGCTTGCGCTCATCACGAGCTTTGCGAGTAGGTGTCCGGCTCTTACTTGACCTAGGAGCGGGGGTGGGATCGGTGGAAGAAGAGGAAGGTGACTCCAATAAGGAACTCTCGCCGTCGGAAGGAAGGTCAGGAAGATGATATTCCTCCTCGCTATCGACAAAAGGATTACCACGATCCGCGGGAGTTATCACTGTACGACCTTTGTTTGCATCAGCCCGGCGATCTCGAACAGCTTCAACCTTCTTCAGAAAGCTATCATCGAGATCTTGGTGATGTTCACCAAAGGATGGTCTTGTCCGTGAAAACTGTTTGTTGGAGGGCGATCGAACCTCAGCTGCAGGCAATAACTGACCAGGAGAACGCTGAGCATTAGATCCACCAGATTGAATGTCACCCTTCGGTGAGGTATGCGGGGAGGCGGTTGTATATCGATCAACAAGATCAATAGAGGCCGGGGACTCTCTGACAGGAGAAGGCATGATGAAAGAACGTATTGGAATTATCGAATATGAATCTAAGGAAGGGGAACTGTCTCCCTCTTATAATCATATCGATCCACTAAGTTCTCTCAAAATCCATCGAATTCCACTCAATTCCATCTCCGCCACAGAGCGTCGTATGCGCGGATCGATCGAATCAATTGATACAAACACTCAACCGCATAACAATCAAAATGACTCAAGCCTCCTGATATGCAACAATCCGAAGGATTAATTCCCTCACTTGAATATCGTCACTTTCTCACAGGCTTTCCTGATCAACGATACAACTCACTCTTTTCTTTTCTTGAAAAAATCATACGCTTTATACGCCTCACGCTCCTTTATCTGATGAATAAGCCTGCCCGGCAGGTAAAATCACAGCAACTACCCGAATAAGGCGCTCACCAACGCTTACGCCGCTCACGGCCAGAAAAAATTTTCCTTTGTTTGCTATGCAGATCCCTCAGTGTAACCATCAAAGCACCGAGCGATCTGGGGGGTGTGTCACGGAATTCACCGTATAGTGTAACCCTACGGTATTAATCCTAGTACTCCTCCGGAGTACTCATTCCCATGATTACTAAAACTATTTCACTCAGTTCATTTGTGTACCCTATATACCTAATTAGGCGACTCCATCGCCTGATCAGGGTATATAAAGCAGGTATGATCCTTATGATCACACCTCAAGTCAATCTAGTTTATTATCACTCTATATACCTATCTCCTGATCAAAGTGACCATTAGACATAGCTATTACCTCCGTGATACAATCATTATATTAAAATCATTAGTTATAATAACTAATGATATAATCGATTCAGCTATACTTCCAATATTATCGTTGTATTTAGACTTGTACTCCACAGAATCGTTTTTGTAAGATCCTGCTATGTTGATGGATAGCAGGTAGATAATGAGATGAGATGCTTAAATATAATTTTGCTAAAATCCGGCAAAATTATACTTATTCGTTAAAAGATAGTGCTTAGCTCGAGCTAGTAGCTATTGATTCGTATTCTTCAATATATATTACCTTAAAGAATAAAATGTAAACTAAGGTTGATTGTAAGAATTATTACCATATTACCGACTAAACTTGGTTTGTCAATATTAAACCACATTGAATTAATACTGAATATAAGAACTACCGCCACATTGCTGACAGTCCTTATTCATATAAAGGCAGGTATCAAATTATGTTGTTTTAATACAAAAGCTTATATCTCTTCAAAGAAATATTAATCTTAGTTACAAACCACATTACATTTAAAATTAAGATACCAGACTTTTGATCTATAATATCACTAATCAGTATTAATATCACTATAGAGATGATGAAGTAATATAGTATTAATGATTTACACTATTATAATATTGCTCGAGGTTCTAAAAGCTAAAGGCTACAAACGTATATGCTATAGTGCGGGGGCGCTAGCGCATGCGCTAGCGCGGTCAGTCACATGATCCCTATCCCAACAATAATGAAGTAGCTTATTCAATTAATTTATTAAACCAATCTGTGTTCCATTAATACTTCCATTACTCTATTGACATTACTAATAAGAAATACATTTCAAGCAAATCTTCTCTCTTTTGCTTATTTTATCTTTTAATAACTCTCAAAACCTCCTTCTATTGATTTCGAAGCCTTTTTCACAAAAGCAATGAAACTGTAAAACACATACTTCCACAAAACAATCGATAACACTACGAATTATATTATAGGTAATATTGAAATTAGTATTGGAATTATAAATCAGATATTAATGGTAATAAAGAATATAGATTATAATATAATTGGATTAGAGAACCATATTTAGAATACTATTAGTACACTCAAGGGCAAGCTTTTCAGAAGGGGGGGTAATATAACGATCCTATCATATTAATAGATCGACTAAATCCTCATATAATCCACAATCCTATATATTACCACTTCCTTCCAAAGAGCTCTTCTAGCTCTTCACCTTAGTATTCTAAAATGATGCAATCGTCACATATTTCGAATAAGTAAGTTAAGTAATTTATGATATTACTAATTAGTATTGGTTCAATAATGAAATCAGGAATACAGGAGATGTGATTTTTATTATCATTAGTAGGCCCCTAAATATCTGTATTATATTCTGTCTAAAAAGCTAGCTAATAAGGGGAAATAGTAGGCTTTATATAGGCATTACTGAAAGAGCTAGTCTCCTTCGTATTCGCCTAAATACCTTTGATACAGTAGCCATTGTATTGAAGTCATTCTTTTGAAGTGAATTCCCTTGTTCACACATATAGATCTAAATTAAAAAGTCTAAAAATAAGCGATTTTTAATTATATACTTTTAATATTTTGATTCTCTCAATAACTTAATACTTATATCGAAATATCATAATTTAAAGATATTTATAAGAAATTCAATTAAATATATATATATATATATAGAAATTCGTATCTTAAATATTTATAATTGAGATAATATCGAATTTTGAAATAAGTGACTTTTAGTAGATTTTGGTGTAATATACACTAGCTAAAGTGAGGTCGGCATTCATTTAAAACAACACCGAGTATACGGTAGTGCATTGGCACTAGCGGCTGCTAGAACTGATAATTCAATATCTACGAAGTGATGGAAACTTGTGGGTACATTACTCGAGTACTGTACTATTACTACCTACTTTCTGATCGATTTCAAGCATTCCTCGTTGCACACAGTTATTTCGTATGAGAACAAACATCAGATTTCGCTTTATTCATTACCACTATATCCTTACAACTTCACGATAACCCAGTTCAGCTTCCACTTCAATCTCGACGAGAAATTCGTCCCCAATTACCCCTGATACCACCAATGTATTTGACGGTCTAATTCCCACGCACTTGAAAGCCCAGCCATGTGCAAGACTGACCGCTTCGACGTCCTCCTCCTTTTGTAAGAATATGCTGGTTCGCACAACATCGGACAAGTCTCCCCCCAGAGCTTTTATGGCACGCGCAACGATATCTAGGATTGCCACGGTCTGGCTACGCGCGCTTTTTCCACCTAGCGCTGGAATGCTTGAGACTGGAGAATTTGCTGTGGTCCCTGATACGCGAATGGTGTTGCCTGTTCTGACCGCTCGACAATAACTCTGTGAAAAGGATATTAGTGACCTTTCTAATACATCCGGGGTGGGAACATACTGCAATGGGCTCCCAGTGGCTGCCTGAAGAATATTCGACGCGAGCTCCACCAGCGATAGCTTTGGAGATCTTCAAATCATGATCTGTCTCTTCAAGGTGATCGCTAAGATCACCTTTGGCTGTGAGAAATGGTGGTCGTCGATATTCATCACCGCAGTCTCCTGGTATATCCAAAAGGCCCTCCTGTGCTTTTGCTATCAAAGCCCTGTCTTCTGCATCTAATGCAAAACTAAAAGCCTCAAGATTGCTCACTGTATACTTGTCTGAAGTACTTGATAGCCTAGATCCGACAATCACAGCACTTACAGCAGGTAGGTCCAAAACGTGTCGTGTTGCAACGGCAGAAATACCAACTCCGTGTTTTTTGGCAACCGTGGAAAGTGCTTGAAGCACAACTTGATATGATGACCATCCTCCAGCCTCATTAATAAATCGCAGATATTTTCTCAGACTCCAGTTCAATTCTGTTTCATCCTTTGGTTCTTCAACCCCAAGCCACTTTTCACTAAGATACCCCCCGAGAAGTGTTCCATATGCCAAGATACCAACATCATATTCAGTACACACTGATGCAAGTCGACCGCGAACATGACGTCGATCAATAACGGAGCACGATACCTGATTGGTTGCAATTTTGAATCCCGTATTGATCAAAAGTTCGAGATGTGCCGCATCTGTGTTTGTCATTCCAATCATTCCAATTTTTCCTTGTTTTTGTAAAGTTCGCAAGTGCTCAAGATTTCGAATGTAACTATCATCCGTATAGTCCCACGCATGATCTAATCTGAATTAGTTTTCTTCAAGGAAATTCTTTGACTTTCTTACATTGCATCAATTCAATTTTTTCTTGCTTCATCCTCTCCAATGCAAGATCCACAGCCTTTTCCGCATTTTCGAAGCTGGTAACTCCGTTTTCTGGTGGACACCATTTTGTGAAAGCTATCATTTTCTTCGTCGATGTCAAATTGTGCTGACCCATAACCAGTTCTATCTGGGTCAGTAACCCAAGACTCTTGGAGACAAGGACAACTCACCTGCGTCGCCATAATGATCAGCCATGTCAAAACAGTCCAATCCTGCTTCAATTCTTATTTAGCAATTAGTGATTAAGTAAAATTTAGTTATGACTTTGCGATTCTCACAATGGTTCCATCGCTTTGGCCGCTGCTTCCACATCTACATTTTGATCATGTCCTCCAGCTAGCTGCCATAATCCCGATACCATGCGGGGTATATCAAGAGAACCACCAATCAGGGTCCGCTCAGGTTTAAATGATTTGTTATTCGCCATGATCTTGAAGTATCTCTGCAGAGTATGAATGTGGTAATTGAAAATTTATGCAAGAATTTGGGGATTAGATTGATATATATGAATGTATGTCCAGTACGCCTTTGCGGAGACATACCTGTTTCCTCGGTAACCATACGATTATCATCAAATATGCAATGCAATTCAGATCAAAAGATCCCCTTACCCCTTATCGGATATCCCGCAGATCTAAGAAGTCTAACCGCGACTATTATATCTCCGTATCCGTTTCCGCATCCGTCTCCTTAGAACGCCGAGATAAGATTTTATCTTATTGTCTTCCCCAATTGAGAACTATTCAATCGAATTGAATGGGTGTAGCTGTGAGGAACCAATTGATAGTTATCTATGCAAAGTTCATGATAAGAAGTGGCGCTAAAGTTCGTGGAGTCCCTGCAAAAATGGGGTCTGCGGGTGAACTCCACCCTTGATTGTGTGCGATACCGCCAATACGATATTTCCATTTGATACGTATATAATGAGGGGTAAAAATAGAGGTAAGGAGCTTACATTTGTTGTTGAGTAACATTCTTATTTGTTTTTTGATTTCTTGATAAAATATGGTTACCAGCACCGGAAAACTCACCGGTAAGGATGAAATCACCAATTTAGATATCCAAACTGCGGGAGATGTCGATTCGTTGAAACATGGTGAAGTCGCCGTGGGTAATTGGGGGTCCGAGACGAAAAGAGAATTCAAATCAAGACATCTTAGTATGCTTGCTGTGGGAGGAACTATAGGGTATGTCTCTCAATTCTTTCGATTCTTTCCTGGTATTTGGATACTAGATGACATCTGAATGTTGCCATAATCTGCATTGAAAACTTTGTCTCATCATGGTCATCTTTTCTTGTTTTTAGTTGATATCACCACCGATTTAGACGCAAATTTTGAGTCCCTAATAGGCACTGGACTTACAATTGCAATTGCCCGTTTAAATTCCACTGGATTTCTGACGCGTGGTTACACGTTCATTTTAATTTCATGACATTAGATTCACCAGAATCATCACGTATCCTTATGTATACCTAGCTAATAAACTGTCTCAAGTACTGGACTTTTTCTCATCTCTGGAGCTACCATATCAACGGCTGGACCTGTTGGAGCTGTGATTTCGTTTATTATATCTGGTATATTTGTGTATTTGGTTGTGGCTACAGTAAGTTGCGACATTAGTCATCCTTTTTTCCGGCGAAGCTCGAGTTAAAGCCATAGAATCTAATGATCAATCACGAAATAGATTGGTGAAATCGCGACCATATTTCCAGTTTCTGGATCATTCGCAGCGTTCGGCAACAGATTCTTTGACCCGGCTCTTGGCTTTGCCCAAGGATGGTCTTATTGGTTTCTTTGGGTTCTTACTTTACCGGCAGAACTATCTTCAGCAGGCATTATCATAAGCTATTGGCTACCAGATATTGGGACTTGGGTATGGGCTTTGGTATTTCTTATTGCGATCGTTGGTAGGTTATCTTTTAGAAAAATGGTGTCTTATTTACGTGTCTAACCTTTCAGTCATTAATCTCTTTGGAGTTCGATGGTTTGGAGAAGCAGAGTTCTTCTTTAGTTTTTTGAAAGTCCTCGTTGTAATCATCTTTATCATTGTCGGCTTGGTCCTCAACGGCGGTGGAATACCAGGCCATAAAGCTAAAGGTTTCGATTACTGGAAGTCCTCGACAGAAGGAGCACCTTTTGCTGCAGGATGGCCCGGTGTTTTGTCTGCTTTGTGTACGGCTTTCTTGAGTTATGGAGGTACAGAGCTAGTTGGTTTGACTGCTGGTGAAGCCAAAAACCCACGTAGAGATGTCCCAAGAGCTATCAAGGGAACGATTGGGCGGATTTTGCTCTGCTACGTTGGATCTATCTTTGTTATTGTGGGTTTCAATTATTTTAAAACTCCCAATCGCAGTTGTATATTTGCTAACGATAATAGAGTATCAACATCAAGTCTACTGACCCCTCACTCCTCACTACATCCGCTACAGAAATTGCAGCTTCTCCTTTTACACTTGTTTTCAAAGATGCAGGTATTGCTGCCGCTGCTAGTATCATGAATGCTGCTATTCTTATCGCTGTGGTCAGTGCCGGTAATACCAGCGTCTATGCTAGCTCTCGCATACTTTTTGCACTCGCAAAGAATGGACAAGCCCCGAAAATTTTCGCTACCACATGGAAAGGTAATGGAGTTCCGTTACCAGCTATGTGCGTCAGCGTATTGATAGGCTTCGTCGCATTCTTTGGTGCAATCTTTGGACAGGGAGTTGTATTCACCTGGCTTTACAATTTGTACGTATCTCATCTTTGGCATTTTCGCCTTTATTATCCAAGTTCTCGCTACTCTTACTCTGAAGACGATTCTTTTCTGCTCAAAACATTTGCTGATAATATTCTAGGATCGCAATTTGTAATCTACTAATCTACATGTCGCAATGTCTCGTGCACATTCGCTTTCGTCTCGGCTGGGTCCGTCAAGGAAATAGCTTGTCTGATCTTCCGTTCAAAGCGGGAATCTTTCCATATACATCGATATTTGCTTTTCTCATGGGTTGTCTGATTGTCGCCGGAGAAGGTTATGTAGCTGCAACTACGAGACCATTTGCTTGGGCTAATATTGTCGCTACTTATATCGGGATTCCTGTATTTTTCATCTTGTATGGAATTTGGAAAGTGATCAAGAAGGTAGGTTTCCCCCCCTACTTTCCTTGTTCTTGGGGGTCCGGGGTGTCTTGCTTGAAATCTCTCGTAGGTTTGATCTCCATAACAACTAATCATGTTTCTAGACAAAATTAGTCCCATACTCAGACATGGATTTTGAGACGGGAAGATCTCAGCCCCCGACTGATGAGGAGATTGCAGCTCTTAATGAGTTGGAGAGAACAGATGTAAAGACTTGGAAGGAGTTGGATGCTCGGGGACGAGCTTTGAAGGTTGGTAGGGCTGTTCATAGGGTTGTTTTTTGATAGGTAGATGGGGTGAAAAGGGGATGATTTCAGATCAGTGCTTGATCGTTGTTTAGCGGAACTAATGAGTTAGATATGTGGTTGAATTGGGTATTGTTGATGGGGAGTTTTCGAAGAAGCTTCACTAGTCTGGCACCTTGATAAGTGTAAAAATGAATGAGTCTGATAACCTTATTCACAATTTAAAAAAAAGTATATGTACATGCTAGAAGCTAGGTACTGAAAGCCAGGCATATACAGATGAACGGGAGAAAGTTCTCCCCAATCCGACAGAAAGCCGACTCCCTCACTCCTCACAATATTCTATAATATGTACATCTTCCACCTCGCCCTAATTTTGAACAACAGAATAATATATACACGTCTCATCTTATCTCATCTCGCACACCCATTAGAGCGAGAAAATTCCACTCATCGCCTTAACAAAGTTCTCCGCAACCAACTTCTGAATAGCTTGACCCGGATGATAACTATCATACCACAAGCACGAAGTCCCATCCGCATTCATACATGTCACATCTGGCGAACCATAGGTTGCTGGATCATCCAACACGGTATAGAAAGATTCGGTAGTGTTGAAAACCGTGCCGGTGACGCCACTATTCGCAGCCTCGAAGGTCGCCAAACGAGTTACGAGATCGGCGTTGTAGGTGCTTATGTTGCCGCGTACGTAATCCATATTTTGAGCGGTTTGCTTGGCGAAAACAGGGGCTTGGTCGAAGGGGGGAATGGTGAATAGTGTAAAGTATCTGACACCCGCATCGTATAGGATTTGAAGCTGTGCGAAATACACGTCGAGGATGTTGTCGAATGGAGTGACAAATCCATCCCAGTATGAGTTTCCGACATCGTTGATGCCCATCCAGACGATCGCCATGGTGTTGTCTTCGGTCCAGGGCGCGCTGGACACATTGTGTGCAGCGTAGGTTGAAAATTCGGTGACTTGGGCAATGAGATCGTGGGTGGCGCCGTTGACGAGGGTGTTGTCAGTGGTAGCGCCATATTCGGCGTAATCGTAACCGAGAACGAGGGAACTGTTTAGTTCGGTGGCGACGACGCCGAGCCAGCCGAGACCGCCGTCGGTGGTGGATCCGGGGAGGGCGACTCCGAGTGGGTTTTCCGCGGAGGGGAGAGTGGCTCCGCCGTAGAATCCGTCGGATGTGTAGGAATCACCGCTGAGTATCTGTTAGTTACATAATTTTCGGAATTGGTTCTTGGAAACTTACAAAACCATAAGATATTTGGTTCCGGAAGATGCGGATGAGCTTGCAGTCGAGGAAACTGCAGCACTGGAAGAACTGGTTGCTACAATAGCAGCTTGAGTTGAGGTAACTAGGGCGGCGGATGTAGAAACAATGGCAGTTGGGAGAGCTGCAAATGTTGTAGTAATGAGGGGTAGGCTGGAAGTAGAGGAGGAACTTGCGACTACTGCTGATGACTGGACAGAGCTTATCTGGGAAGAAACCGCTTGAGCAGCAGAACTTGCTTGAACAATAACCGAAGAGCTGGCTACTGAAGTAGATTGTTTAGCAACCGAAGTAGCGAAAGTAGTCAAGGAGCACTTTTTCTTCGTAGTGGCCGAGGATACTTGTAAAGCGGAGCTTGAAACTGCTGGAGCTAAGCTCGAGACAGCCAAAGCCGTCGTCACAGGAGCGACTGCAGTACTCGAGACCACCTCAGCTGCGCTCGTTGCCGTTGCAGCTCCTGCTACACATTGATAGTAAAATGCATTTTGGGATTGACAAACCGCCCCCGAAACACAAGATGACGATCCTGTAAATCCCGACCCTCCACATTGACCATATAACGCAACATCTGCAGCCGAAGTAGCTGAAATAAAAAGACCAGCCGCCAGCGGCAAGGATTTAGAATTGATGACAACCATCTTTATGAAAATTTACAGCGTATCGAAAAAAAGAATGTGATTTTTCGCGAACAGTACGAAAATTGGAGAATGAATGAAATATAAAGCAAAAGCAGTCCAAACTTTTCAAAAGCTTCGTCAATTCGTGATCGTCATTTCATCATATATAGGATATGGAAAAATTCCAATCCCTCCAATCCATTAATGTTCATCTCATTAAGGATCATTGTAATATCCCGAAACGCGCATTTACACTTTATTTTCAATATATTTCAGACGGTAGCTCGGCTGTTGGGGGAAGAACGGGGATATTTAGGGAATGTTTGATGGAAATTACAGGCGGCTAAACTTATTATGGAGTGCCTAGAAGAAGCCCTGGAGAGTCGAAGTGGCTGATGTGCTTCGTTGAGTGGGGTAACCGGGAGAAATCACTGATGGAAAATTTATGAAACGTGTCACCCCTTGTCGAAATTACTTCTTCGAGAGGAGAGTTGACGTATGCATGAGTGAAATGTATGTCATCTGAAGAACTGGTGCTAGTTCGTACCGGATGGTTGAATTAGATCGGAATGTCGAGAATCTTCAGAGATGGCTCACGCTACTTACTCTCACGATGTTGAATAGCTCCCATATCAAGATGGCTGAACGAGCCGGTATGCCGGTAGCATTGATATGAAGCGGGGTCTAGCTTTGAAATCAGACATACCGTAATGGAAGGGCACTCAACAAGATTTACCAAACTTCCGTCGTGAAAAAGGAGGGCTCTCGGTCCCGAACTTTCCAATTACTTTTTCCACCGTAATGGTAATCGCCAGCCTGTGATGCCATACCATCACACTCCGTATCATGGTCCAAATGAACTGATACCTGATCACAAAGCAGACAACATGGACGGAACCGCGATAAAAGGAGGAGAGAGATCACAATTAATGAGATGTTCAAATCATAAAGCGGCTTATGAATTTGCTGTTGTAGACCACCAGGACGATTCTAATGGGGATGAGGTCGCTTCAGTCAATGTAAAGCTGCTTTAATCTTCATTGGCCGAGCTAGCTCCTAGGATGGATGGTGAATTACGAGCAGCAAGGGTTTGCGCATGTGGTGATATTAGAGCGGCAGTCCACTCCTTTTGTATGAGAAAATAAGCGCTAGGCAATGTTCCAATCAAATTCAATATCTCACATAATTTGAATGTTCTACGAGTTGGTTTGGAGATTTGGTAAGTCTTCGTTGTTGGACTGCGAGGACCTGGTGGACTGCAGTCTGTGATGAATATCACATGACAGTCTGATTACTCATCATACTAATCTTAGTTCAAGCTAGCCTCGAACTAAGAGATAAGGACATCTCCTAAGGTTCTCTTTCCTCTTTATAGCTTTCTTATTCTATTTTATTTGACCTCTATCGATATGCTCTAGTATACGATCGCAACGCAGTCCAGAGCTCTGAATACTCTGGGGCCACGGACCGCTGGTGGACCCCCGCTAGTTTATGGCTACGATCCAGTACTTTCTTCCATTTTGGAAGTTACAATGTCTCATCGCAAGCACCATTCGAGTGACACACTTCATTCCTATTAATTCTAGGTACCAACTTTCCCGTGACCGAGGGAGATTTAGGGCAAGCCTTTTTGAGCATCATCAGTATTGTTCAATCAATCGCAGTCCATGGCTACAAAGTGATTTATCAGCCACTGTTATGCCTCACAGGCAGACCCCAAAGCTATAATTAATTCGGTCTACAGCTCAAGTGGTAATGCTATTGAGCTTCTCTTTCTCTTGAAGTCAATGAAGAAGTATTTCCGTTGCTCTTCGTCGTCCACACCAGCGTGTTTTTGAGAAAAAACAGCTATGCATGAGTCTCACTGTCTGTGGGAATTCAAGAATTCAAGGAGCTGAATGGAGAGATGATGATGAACCCTAAGTAGTATTCATGCAGAAGAAGAACCCGAATGAACCTACCGCGTATGTTTGTACAATTTCACCAGCTATTCAAGCACGACAGGAATGAAAATAACCTTGTGAATACTTTGAGGCCTCGCCCAAGTTGATTATGATATCAATTACTAATCACTCAAACTGATTGATAGTTATGATTCCTTCACAATATAGTTCAGACTACTGGATATCGATTGTACAAGATAAATCGGCACTTTCCAGACTTTGAACTTTGTGCATATTTCTTTGAACGATTTATATTGTTGAACCCATGCTTGCTATCTAATATACAATAACCTGGAAGTCCAGGCTGACAGATGATCCTTCGCAATCTCATTCTCGTCCCGAGTTTCTCATACCCGCAGAACTTTCGTGAGACTCCAAAAGGGGTTTTACATAAAGCTGTCTCTCCTCTACGATACGACTTAAAGCGACATTATTACCATTCCATTCTTCCGTTCCCGGATCCTCTAGAGGAGGTTCCCACTTTCTCCAAACCACAGCAGTAGACTTATACCGACCCCTTCCTTGATCGAGTTGCTCAATATCTACACTACCCAACGCATCATCTTGGACATACTGTCCATACAAAGGTCCGCTATTCTGTCCACCAGGCACATAAAATCGGTACGAAATTTCTTTTTCGAGATCCTCTGCTACTAATAGAAAGCGCTCTCCAAGTTGCTGTCCTCTTACCGGAGAACTTTTGGAGTCTGCTTTGAGAGGCTCCTCGACAAACAGAGTACGGTCGAGATAAGGCTCGTCATTCTCTGGAGTTTTGACATAGTGTAGTGCTACAATAGCCTTAGGAAAATCAGAATCTTTTGTATCTGACAAACGAAAACAATCGACTATGCGGTATTCGGATCTAACTGAAATGCCGGAGTAGGTACGAAGGACATAGATTGTAGTATCGTGTTTGGTAATCTCAACTTGGTTGCTTATATAGTAATTCTTGAAGTTTTCTAGAAGCTTTGAGGGTCGTTCGTCTTTCTGTTTGATCGAAGTTGGAAGAGTGCATACTCTTGGGCCTGAAATTTCTACGAAATAGTCTTTCCAGAGTCCAAGTTCTCTCAGGGAGAGGTTGGGTGTTGAAGCGGGGAGTTTGACTAGGGCGGATCGCTCGGGTTTTGCGGTCCTGTTTGAAGATCTTTTTGTCATTTTTGCCAAGGTGCTGGGGCTTGTCGTTGTGGTGTTGAATGTAAATTGTCAAGTGACGACTGTGTATACCGTGACTAAGAGCGAAGTCGATATAGCGAGAAGATTTCCTGATTGATGAGGCAGATAGTATCTTGACAGTAGTGGAGATCGTACCGGAATAGGTGGTGAAATGATGTTACGTAGTTCCGTTATTTGAAGGTAATGGTGTTATTTTATGAGATTCGTTCTGTTGAAAGTAAGTGTTTTGATATTTATAGCAGCTACATACAGAAACTGGGAGGTTTGACAACTTATATAGTATTTTGAAGAGTTGATGACTCCTGAAGAAGACTCATGCCATTGAATTTAATGGCCAAATTCAACAAATACACGTGAACAAATATATATGAGTGGCCTAGTCGTGCCACTTCAAAGTCACACAATTCACTTGACACACACCACGCTTTTGCTGCAAGACACGATCAAAAAACAATGACTCAAATCAACTTTATTGAGAAACCCCATGCTTAATTCAATCATTTCTAGACTACGCATAAACATCCGACTCGAACCAATCATTGGTCACAAACGGCACCTCAAGCCCACGCCTCTCCGCCATAATCGGAGCCAAGCGCCACGCATCCTCTTGTCGTTTTATCAGCGAGCGATCCGGCGAACCTCGTTTCATCTTCCAAACTCGCCCCCAGCATAAATCCCTATAATGAGGATCAAATTTCTGTCCAGATGGTCTTTAATCAAATGGTTCAGTAGTTGGTGGTGCGGAAGTCGCTATTGCTATAATCGTTCTCTTGCTGCTTTGCTTTATGTATTGACCATTGGCGTTCGGAAAGAAATCTTCGGATCCATCGCAGCGAAGTCGTTGCATGATTTGTTCGGCCAAAGCACTTTCGTTGAACACGATGATAAATTGTGAAGGGGGGATTGTGAGGGGATCTTGTATAAAGAAGGCATCTCTGCAGAGTTTCCACACAGGTTGTCCATCGTCGTCCAGTTGCCACCTCTCGAATCCCACCTCGATGATAAATTTAGGTTGGTCCTCTAGATAGTAAGGATCCACGTCAAATATGAATCGAGGTTTTACCCGTTTACCAAGATCTAGAGCTCGCGTAAAGTGTTCGTATTGAGGGAGGAAATAAATTTGAAAGCGCTCGAGGATATTGAAGTTGAGAGCCTCCTTGGCGTCAAGTGAGCTAGGTGGCTCGAGGATAGTTCCCTTGATAGATCTAGCGTGCCATAATATGTTGCGTCTCCACTCATCGATTCCTTCTTGACAATTTTTGTGACAAAATCTCCAGTAGAAGGTAAGTGTAAAGTAAAGAACAAGAGTATTGGGATCAGGAACTTCGGAAGCGACATCTGGCGCTTTGGCATGAGATCCAACGTTTGTTTGGCAATTGGTGACCTTGGAAACATCCATGGCTGGGGTTGTTATTGCTTTGGTAGAGGAATATTTGGTTGAAGGGACGGATTCGATGTTCAGGTAGTGCTGAAGATTGGAAGGATGCTCAAAGCTGTTCGTTAAACTGGGATAACGTGACGCGCTATCGTTGGGTTATGTGTTCGATGCTAACGTTCTGCTGCTTTATTGAGGTTTTTTTTTTCTGAGACGTTTTCGAGGAAGTTTGGGGTGTGGGAGAGGGAAGAATCGCCAGAATCTGTGCATAGTCAAGGCACTGTAAATTGAGGATCTCTCTGAATCGAAGTTGTATTATCAAAATGACTCTGAAATATTCGGACTTGGGGCGTGTTAATCATTCGTCATAACCCTGGGAGTCATACAGTCCAAAAAATTGCAGTGACTCTAAATTATGACTGAAATCATAAAAACAGATTGAGAGTGGTGACTGATAGCTTTATTAGTACCCAAGCTGATAAATTCTAGCACCTATGTAATGACTGTAGGACTAGGGGAGCTTCTAGTCATAGTATTCAATAATCAAGCCCCCAAACCAATGACAACATTCAAGTCACTTGATATAATGAATCGGATCAGAACAATCCACCATCTCGAATTTTTCAACTACTTTTAAACATCCAAGCCCCTATATTATTCGACTGCACCCCCGACTATAAGATACTCTACTCTGCCTCTAGTATCACTTAGTCTACCTACCCAACTCTATAAATAAATCCTCAATCCACAGAGATCTCAATTTTCCTCTGCAGCACTCCAGCAAAATCCAATCGTGACGTACATCTTCCAGGTTCACAGGTACAGCGATATCGAATTTAACCTAGCGTCTGAAGATCAAGAGAAGTATCACAGGATCCGCCATCTTCGAAGATGATTCATCTTCTGACGTGAATCCCATTTTCGAAAGCTCACAGCTTCGGTCATCGAACCCCGACGGGTGGTGTGTGTCTGTATTATGTGCTGCTCGAGAGGGGTGGTTGTTGCAGTTTTGGTATGGATTCTAGCGACGATATTGTGATTAGAATATCGTACAATCGAGAAGCGTTGATGAAAAGACAGACAAAGGCAACTGCAAGCTCGAAGACACGTTTTATTGACCAAGTGCAACAGCCACAGAGATGTGTCTGTCCAGACTTCCCGGGTCAACCTTGGAATAATATCATGCTGCAAGCTTTGCTTTGAACGTCAACACCTGAGATCACATGACCAATCAATCACCACCTCACCACCTAGAATAGCATGAAAAGTTCATTGTCAAATTGTTCGTTCAAATCAAACGAATGAATATATTGCGAATTGTTTCAAAGTGCATACCAGAAATCCTTATCTCCAAACCACAAACCCTTTTAAAAAGAGAAAACAGTAACATAACTTGAACTTCAATTTAGAACCTTGTTCCCCCTCGGCGCTGCGATAAAAAGACAACAATCGTTACAACGCATTGAGATATATCGTGCCCCCTGATCTCAATCCAATACCGTGACCACTCATCTTGTACCTCCACAGTATGCACCTACCTTCTCTTCACCCTTTCCGCCATCGCTGCTCTTCCGATCACTTCTCTTCCCCTCCACCCCTACTTCCATCCCACCCCAACCTAAACCGTAGTAATCGGTTCCTTCAACCCACTCATCCCCTTACACCCAAGCGTAGAACAACAAACGCTCTCCCCACCCGTAATCAACTCACAGCCGGACAAATGTCCATCACCATTCCATTTGCAGAGGGTTCCTCCTGTGCCCGGGTTAGGGTTACAGCAGTATGCTGTACCGGGGTAAGGACAGAATGCCTGAATGAATTGAAATGTTAGTCTGCGGCCAGGACATGATGAGAATTTGAGAGCGAAAAGCAATGAAGTGATGAAAAATCTCAAGAAAAGGAGGGAAATGAGATACACACATTTGATTTTGTGTGTCCAAGATCGCGCTTCTTCAAGTCCTTAAAACATGCAAATACGTCAGTCATAGAGAATCAAATCAAATCAATACACGAGATCAAAACCCCCCTCTTTCAATTCCCTTTCCTTTCTTTTCCATTCCTCTCCTCCCACAAAAACAGACACAACAAAAAACAAACACAAAAAAAAAGAAACCCCACCCTAACTCACCACACTATTACTAAACGGCGGGATATTATCCTCCGGGCCCGGCGTAAAAGTAGGCTTCACCCACTTCCCGACCACGGGTCCCCCTCCCGCAAAAGGAACCAGACCATCATCTCGCGGGGGTTCAATATCCACCTCTGGTTCCGGGAGCGGGATTCCCTGACGCGGAACCACCTGTCGCAAAACCTTGTTTGGGATGAAATCTTTGGCTTCGAGAGCCGAGTCGGGATTGGGGGCTGGGACGGCGATGGCGGCGCTGAGGCCGAGGAGGAGAGTGAGAGAGAGGATTGGGAGATACATTTTGGCTGGGGAGATAGGGTAGGGTTTGAGTAAATGAGCGTGGTTTTGTGGAAAAGGTATCTGAGGTTGGCGCGTGATCTTCGAGTGTAAATGACACGGCGATTTGAGTCAACAGAAAGAAAAAGAGAGGAGAGGAGATGCGGCTTCAAGGGGATAACTACCCCTATAAACACATGCACACTCAAAACACAAAACCTCGGTTCTCGCATTCCTTACGAACTTTCGTTAGTAAATGTGGTATCATAGTGTAACTGAGGAATGAGAATTCTAACGATGAGAATGTAGATCGAGGTAGACCAAGAATGTGAAATTTGCCGATTCAAAATTGTGATTTGCTATCCTATTTCGAAAACGTGTCAAAAAAAAAAAAAAAAACCAACTCCATCTCTGCAATGCCGCATGCCCGCCAATTCGACCACTTTCTCCTTACCAGTCCCAATCACAATCTAATGTTCCATTTATAAGATAGTAAAGATCAAATATTACATCCCAACCACTCTCATCAATCCATAACCAACCGAGATGACCACTAGCCATGTAAGGATACTTGCTGGTACGCCACGAGTGATGAAATGTTTCACTTGTAAATATCTTTGTCCTGTTTGTGAATCCTCCATCATAATTGCAGCTATATATGATTAGCATATCTTTTATCTATGAATTGGAAACGGGGTATACATACTCATATTAGGGAAACCACTTGTAGGCAATCCCATAGCAGCACTACACATTAATGTAGCACCCATAACCAAAAGGTTGGGATGTGGCTCATCCATACTTGCTCCGACACTATGAACTAATGGAAGAATAATGAGAGCTGCGACGGTGTGACTGATGAATGTCGCAACGACCAAGACGAGGCATGAGAATACGACAAGTACGCTATAGAGACTCAAACCCTCAACGCTCGCAGTGATTTCACCAGCAATAGTATGCAACAACCCTGACGAGTTAACGGCTTTACCTAAAGAAAGTCCTCCAGCAGCGAGAATTATAATTGTCCATAAGAAATTGTTGAAATCCTCCTTTGTCAAGATACCGGTACCAAAGAATAGTATTATTGGGATGATTGCGACAACTCCCATATCACCAAAGATTGCTTCAAGCTGATGACTCACACACCAGAGAACAATGGTGCCAAGAGTAACAAGGGTGATAAACCACTGAACTCCAGTGAATGCATCCTTAACTGGGCGAATAGGAACGATTGTGGTTCCACGACCAGGCTTGAAGGTAAGAAGTAAGAGAATCCAAATGAGGACGATGGAAATTATACCGACTGGCAAAACAATGAAGAACCAAGTCCCCCAGTCTGGTTGTGGAGACATGATTTGAAGAGCGACAATATTCTGTGGCGATGCGATTGGTGATAGCATTCCACCAATATTGGATGACAGTGCAATGCCAAGAATAACTGCTTTCGACATTTGAGATTCAGAGGGAAGGTTTCGAAGCATGGGCTAGGACTGTTAATAATAAGATTCAAAAGAAAAAAGGGGTTTCAAGCTCACCTGGATGATTGAGAAACACAAGACAGGTGCTGCAACATTACTGATCCACATACTTGCGAAAGCTGCTACGAACATGTTGGTGATAAGAACTGTTCTTGGCCTCGTTCCAGCCTTGCTTAGGACAAAAGTCGCTATCCTCTTAGCAATATCATATTTGGAAAGTGCTGCAGCTACTGTAAACCCACCAAGTAATAACATGATGACTGGAGTCCACATTGCGGAAAATATATATTTGGCCGCAGCTGGAGCTTCAAGTCGATGGTAAGGCTTTTCATCAGAGCGAACCACGCCTAGAATCACGCAGAGGAATGGAATCATGAGAGATGTAACGAAGAGAGGTATGACCTAAACACCAGTCAATAAGAGATTATAGTTAGGGTCTTGAAAGAGTTTCTTACCTCGGTAGCCCATAACAGACTGACAAATACCAGCATTGCTAAACAATTTTGTTGTTCTGGCTTCTTCATGATTGGAATAAGCAATAGTAAAATGAAGATGGTAATGATTGCAACCAATGTAAACATCGTGGAACTAAAGAGCCACCTTGGACATCTTACTCTTCCAACTGGTGTTGATAATTCCTTCATCTCAGCGATGTCGGCATCATCACCTTGCAATCGGAGTTTAGATGGATCATTATCCACGCCCAGTAAAGTCCTTCTAATACCCATATTCGCAGCTTGAGCTTTCCTCTCAATGCCAATCATTTCCCTCCAAACTGTATTTCTCTCCCAAACGACATGTTCGCGTAGATGTGATCGCAATTCCTTCTTTGCCATGTCGACGTCTCCTTGAGTTGCCACATCGGAATACATGCGCTCTACTCGTGATATGTTCTCCTCGATATGCTTAAGTGTTTCGGGGCGGAAAGGATATGCTGGAGCTACGACATCCTGAAGGTACTTCGACTTTAAATTTCTGTCCAATATTTTGTCATATTTCTTGCAAACCTTCTTGAAACCTGTCTGGTTAAGCTGAACGAAAGATTTCAGTTCACATAGTGACACATATAGACTGACTGCACGCTTTTTCAACGTAATCCCAGATGAATAGAAGGCATTGAATGCCTGCTCTGCCATATCCTCGTAGTTCATACTGTTGCGTCGAGCAGTTTTCATTAAATCCGTTGAAGAGCGCATGTCCTCGAAACCCCCTGTATTTGCGTCATGAGGAGAGCTCTTGCTTCTTTTTGGCATGGGTGGTTTGCGCAGCGCAGTGTTCTCATCGTCGTCATCATCATCACTATCTTCGACCCCCTCATCTATTGATCGACTTATTGTGCTTGAACGCCTTCTCCCTTTAGGAACAAAAGATTTAAAGATACTGTTTTGTCGTGGTCGATCGTTGCTCGATGCTCTTGACCTGCCATTGCCATTGCCATCTGTCTGGTTGCTTTCTAGAACTTCAGCCTCGAATTCCTCTTCCTCCTTCAATAGCTCTGCAACCTCGCCAAAAATTTCAAGCTCCTTCGATTCGTAAAAGGTGGATATCTTTTCCAATTCTGCATCTAGTGCTCTGCGAAAGATAGCATCCGAATCTTCGGCCGGTCTGATTAGAGGGGAATTTTCGGCGTCTTCGACGGCAGTGGAGGGTCGATGTACATTCTTCTCAAGTTGGTAGATCCTGCGGAAAAGACATCATTAGCATCATTCAGAGATCAGTTCGCGCCAGGACTTACAATTTCTTCAAATTGCTATAAGCGATGTAATGACTGCTCCAATCTGGAACAGCATTGAACTGTATACTATGTGAGAACTTCATCTCGTCTGCCTCCTCGAGTCTTTTCCTCTTTTCTGCCCTTCTTCTGTCTCTCTCACTTATGTGCGATTCCGGAGGTGGATCGTCTCGTGCGCCAGGATATTCAGCGAGCTCGAATTCTTCGTAATCCTGTAGTAAATGTTGGCGTCTATCAATTTGTGAACTCCCTCCTCTGTCCAGTCTTTTCGAAGATGTTATCTTATTGTTATCAAGTCGATGGAGCTGGTCAACTTTCGATTTAGAGGAGGGATTGAGGATCACCTGCGAAGAAGCTATCTTGAATGTTCTGGACCTTCAACATCAAGATACTGTAGGTGATTTCATATAATTGGTAACATGTTGCGGTCAGGGCAAAGCCTGAGTGTGTGTGCCCAATATAGTGGAGACCAATGATGGGATTTTCGATGTGGTCAAGTTTTGTTCACGCTTTGAACAAATTGATGCCAAGTGAAATGAAATGGTATAACATGATTTGTTGCATTGAGGATTCCAAACCTATGATTATGACAAGCATGGTTAATACAAATGTGCCTTGCTATTTTTACCGTATCTGTGTCTTACCCAACTTGGAAGTTTTATCCACTTACAATGATGAAATGAAGCATGCATGTAATCATGACATTATGATTGGTCAAAACGTCCTATCAAAATCCCACGCTGCTACTCTCCCTCGTCTCCCATCATCCATTTTTTGAATCTTTTTTACCTACTAGGTACTGTGCATGTTACATCCGGGAGATCCTCGTGTAGCCAAGATATATCCCGTTTGCTGGTTCTAAGAATCTGCATTGTATAAAGTAACCCCCACACTGCGGATGACCAAGTAATACGTTTACCTGGTGTTTCATCGATATATTGTGTTCATGGTTAAAAGAAATGGTTATTGTTTGGTCGAGTTTGACGGATCCTCGTGATTTTGTGCAGCTGAACCACCATTCAACTCTGGAACCTCTCCTCTGTGGTCCAATGTACGGTGGAAAATGAATTCCGAAGAGGTTGCGAATGGAAAGAGTACTGTGGCACAGCGGTTGATCAGGGTGGAGGATGAGAATGAGACCCCAGAACTAAAAAGGTCTACTGACACAATTCTCACAAGTTTGGTAATCCCAAAGATTGGTATTATTTGTTCACTTGTCCTGGGTGTACGGCTGGTTAATGACTCACGATATCAAGATGGATGAAAGGAAAGTAGCTGGCATGCTTGATCAGATAATGTAATTTTGAGAGCTAAGCATTGTATTTTCTAACAGATACCAACTGTCCGAAATGCATGACGGGCGTTGCAGGTAATTTTAAGAAAACTATGACTCAACAGAGTTCCAAAATTTTCATCTATCGATACAATCAATGCCTCTCCAATGATACCTTCAACATTCAACCCATCAATAATACAAACACAAATCCCATCATCAAGGCAACGGAGCTACCTCCACCATATTTCAAATCCACGGCCTCTGATTTCTTTGAAGGAAGAGGTGCAGGTACAGGAGCTGTGGCTGATGGCAAAGACGTCGTAGTTACTGGACTCGCTTCACCCCCTGTGTTATCACCACTGACATCATCATATGGATATGAGTCGGTATACTATTAGAGATCAGGACATTGGTGATTGTCTATTGAAGAAGTGCTTTGGGTTAAAATGAAATGTTGCGTTGACAACGAGTTGGGTGTTCAAGGAGATAGAGAGGTAGTGGGAGACAGAAATAAGCATCGGGTAGGGTAAAGTTATGAACAAATTACATACGTTGTATGTGCCATCGGATTTGCCCCATCCATCAACGATTTTTTTCAAGACTCCCTGACCTGAGCCACAACTTGCTTTCGTATCAGGCAAAGGCCAGACTGGATCAAACCTATCTGCTGACAGAGGACCTGGATAGGATGAATTGAAAAGCAACTTAGTGGTATTGACGGCATAGTTATCGTATCCTGCTTTGCTAGCGACAATACCAAGAACGTTTGCACCACAGTCCCAGCGGCCGAGAGAAGGGAGTCCCCAGTTAAGCTCTATGGTTGAAAGCATACTATAGTGGTTGTAGAATGTATCATCGGTAGTATTTTTGAAGGAAGAAGGAATAGCACCACCAAGAAGGATAGCAAACATCTTGTTCTCCTCATCGTTTTCGGCATTCTCATCCCAGGTGAGTACAACCAAGGTATCGTTCATAAAATAATCATTGGTAAGTAAAGGTTCAAGGAACATACGAGACCAATTCCCAGCTACAGTGTCATTAGAATCGTGGCCATTGTTTGTCATATTTGGTGTGATAAAAGACCACTGTGGTAGAGTCTTATTTGCCAAATCTGATTCAAATGAATTGAAGCTTTTGATCAAAGCAAGCCTAGTAGCGTTGCTAGTGACTGAATCGAACATCACTAGTGGATTGTGTTTGCGTACATAATCTTCTTGGAATGGGTCGGTTTTCGAGAAATTCCATCCTTCAAAGCCAGCATATGGTATATCTTCTTGATATTCGCCCCAAGAAATGCCTTTAGTGTCGAGCAAATCTACAACAGTTGATATATTGGCCGGAATTTGAATGAATTCGTCTGCATCCATGCCGAATGTGTCACCTCCGACAACTGCACAATAGTTTGGTTGAGAAGGATGTGTTACTCCCCAGTAATTAGTGAGTGTTATACCTTGTGCAGCAAGCCATTGAAAATTGGGGTCATTGGTAGCTTCTTTGAAATCCTATACCGAGGCTGTCAGTCTATGGCATATAATGAATACATCTGTCAATTATTTCTGGTAACAATGATATCTTACCATGTTCTCGAGCCATATTTGGACAAATCTGCTGAATACCTCGCCACCAACGTTAGAAACAGGAGAAATCGGTTGCTGAGTTGCTTGTGCCGCTATTATTGCAGTAAAGGCTGGCTCAATTGTGGATTGGGGGAGTGGTGATGAGACGATGGGTGGTGTAGGAACAATGGCCAAGGTTGAGCCCAGAAAGATGGCCAACAGCTTGAGTGCTGAAAGATTCATTTTATGTTTATCTGATTTGATGTGGATGTGTGTGTCAAAATTTTGAGACCCAAAAAGACAAAACAATTGTTTTTGATTGAAGTAGAAAAAAGAAAAGAAAGAAAACAGAAGAAAAGAAAGTAAGTTGACCTAGGGCCAACATTATAAGATAAGGAGGATGTTTGAAGGTTTTAAGCTTGTTGAATGAAGGAAGTCGCCTCCGCAATACTCGTGGTTTCTCAATCTGGGACACGGGTCTGACAACTGGAAAAGCATCTCGATTTGGTACTCGCAATGTAGAAGTATTGCAGATTGGTTCATTCAACTGAACTTCATTGATACCTAGTTTGATTTGTCAGTTCAAGATGAATTGCAAGCCAGGTGTCCCCGCTGTCTGCTCAGATGTCAAGAATACCAAACTTACCTTTCAATCCTGATATTTCAATTATTTGAATCTACCACTGAAGGGTTTCGCTTGATGTAAGCTGGAAATATCACGCGCCTTCCTTGAGTAGATTCGAGTTCTCTCATGACTGCCTGAATGTTGGCTGGAGTGATTTTCTCGTACCTGTCCGACATGACATTGAGAATCAACCTGAAATCTCTTAAAACTGTGTTTGGGTGATGCTCCATCAAGGAACGGTGGCACCTCTCCACCAAAGATCCGTAGCTAATTGCTCTGTATGTCCACCACTGTTCTGCCCAAGAATACTCATATCCTCCTGTGGCTTCTCTGCCAAAATAGACATCTATACGGAAGAATCGTGGTCGCCGTGGACGTGCATAATAAGGAGTCGGCATTATCAAAGTTCGCGCGAAGAAAATATAATACGAATGTGAAACGGATCTCTCCTCGATGTCGACCTTGTTCTTGGTATTTAGCAGGAAGGCAAAGTTGACAGATGGAGGAAGGCTCTCTTTGGTATCGATGATGGCTCGAAGTGTTTAAGTGATAATCAATCAACGGTATGCGAATTCTTTGTAATAATTATATCTGGAGCTCACCAAAAAGAAAACTTGCTGAATGATAATGAAAGATCTTGGGTTTTACTGTTTATATTCCAGATTGTCCCTTCACTTCCCTAAATCGAATATATCCATCTTTGTAGAATAAAAAGTTACCTGCTAGAGCCTCTAGAGGCCTAGCCGTCCTATATAGTCTTAGACTGAACGTGGACGTAAATGAAATCAATCAATCAATCAATCAATCCAGATTGTCCCAGGCAAGACCTGAAAAGCGCTATTAGTCTACCAACATGGTAGCTACTGCCAATTGTTCTATCCTATAGTCACAAAGACACTGATATTTCAGCTCTTAACCTTCCAATTCTTCTCTACAATTTTAAGGATACCCAATCTTGCTCTCATTCTTACAGTAACGAGTATAATATAAGTGTGCATACACGGACAAGAAAAGAAATTACATAACTTATATTTCTTTTCAACCATTGTATTTCTCTATTATTACAATATCCATTAATCAATCCGAGCTCTAATTATTACTTCAATTCTAGAAATCATGCCTGATAGTACATCCAATCGAAAAGAGAACACACCTCTAGAGCTAGTTCCGAAGAGGATTCGAAAAGATTCTCATCAGGAACCAACGCCTCCATTCAAGAGACATAAGAGATCCGAGTCGCCAACTAGTACAGAACCCTCTGCAGGATCTTCTCCAGGTTCTATTTCAGGTTCCGCTCCGGATGAACAAGATGTAACCATATTATCTCTTGTGAAAAGAGCATTGAGAAAAGATAAAGTTGTTGCAGAAATATCTTCCAAGTCTCCCCCGAGCAAGGTGGTAACAATCACATCACCACTGGAAATCGGTCCTTCCAGTCAGATTCATGCAGGAATTACAGAGACCAAGAGAATCCTGGTCACCAAAGAGAATACTCTCGCTGCTCCACTGTCACCTCAACCAAGCAGTGATATATCTTCCCCACCCTCACCTGGGCCAAGCAATTCTGTGCTTCCTCCACCTTCTCCTCGACCAAAGAATCTCACGCTTCCTCCCCCTTCTCCCCGACCAAAGAATCTCAGGCTTGCTCCCATCACACCTCGAACGAGCGATACCATGCCTCCCCCACCTCGACCAACCAATGCTAAAGTATCTCGTGGTAGAAAAATTGATAGAGATGAGAAGAGCATGTCGTCACCTGCTTCAGCTTCCCCATCTTCTTCCCGAACGCCTAATTCTAAGCCGGTCAGATTGCGCCTTAGATTGATCAATGGCAAATCCAAAAATTGGAGTAGTAATAAAGACACCGCAGAGGATGAGGGAATTGATGTCACCCATGACAATTATGGATCCGAAAAAGGTGATAATATCGAGAAAGTTGACAGAGAAGAGGGATTGGTTGAAGTAACAAGTATTTCGAAATCCAGTACCTCAACCGCACCACCCCTTACCAGCTCACCGATGATACGGTCATCGCAAATCAACCAAAGAATTATTCCAAACCCATCCAAGGCTGATAGCGTACCTACTGAGGCAATTGAAATGGTCAGAGAATCAAGTCAGAGTTTAAGCCCGGAAGTTGATGGAATCCCTTTTCCCAACCCTCCGGTCCCTCCCTACGCTATTACTTACCGAGGGTTAGACCTGAAGACCCAAATAGAAGCTCATAAGTGTGAACTTTGTATCCCCTATGGTTGGAAAATTCCTTACCCCCGACGAGAAGATCCTATTATCGTGGGACCTCTCTACCGCAAAGTCCTTCACTTGCGAAGAGATTCTGGAGAAACCGTCTTTACTGCCATCGAGTTTACAGATGCACCGGGCGAAGATAACCTCCACGCATTCCTTGATCGTGCAGAGAATGATGCCCGCAATGCAGGTATGCCTAAGAATCTCAAGCCGACAATACTCGCGGTGAGATGGGGCAATGGAGCGCAGTTTGGTAATGCAAATTACCGATCAATTTACAGCCTCTATTGTGATTCATTCATTTTTGTAGTCGGCAACTCTTTCGCATGGAGAGCAGTAATTAACCAAATGCGCCGCAGGGTTTTGTTAGGACAGAACTGGATTCTGTGGTGGGCGGAGAAGGACTATGTTGAAGATTGGGAGACGGATCTTTCGCGATGAGGCTGCAGTAAGTTTATCGATTAGCGCATGCATCTCTACCGGAACACGTGGGAGTCCTGCACCTTTACTTCCTAAAGCCATCGAATATGAGGGGCGGAGGAGCTGTGATATAGATTGTGCAACTCTTCTATGGTTGGAAAATTTTGACGGAGCAGCCAATTCCGAAAGCCTAGCCTCTTTAGTTCTTTCGTCACTTTTCATGGTTACGCTTCTGTGAACTGAAAATTAGCTATCAATTCGGTGTAGGTTCAAGTTGAAGGCGTTTTTGGAGCCGGTCTGGAAACGAAGCTCACGCTAAATTCGGTTGAAACAAGTGTACTTAGCAACTGTAGTTAATGGATTACTTTCTTTAACTTGTAGATGTTGATCAAGTCATATCTGGTAGTAAGTAGTCTTTGGTCATACCAGAATTTGTACATGTGAAAAGGCAATTTTTGAAGTTCTTGACTATTGGGGCTAGCAAGAACTTCTTCGAGCATAGAAGTGTCTTTCATTGCAGTCTGTACCCAGGCACTCTTTCATGTCGTTTTGATTGATGCAAATCACTTCAGCCCGAGGAAAGGTTCTGCATTCAGAGTAGAGGTCAAATCGTCCTCAAAAGCTTAAACTGCCCCAGGCAATTTACAAGGTTTATGGTGACCTAACTTCGACATCATTCACTGTTCTTTACGATAGTTGAGTAGGTTCACCCCAAGGATATGAAAGCGCATGGTATATTTTCTTCTGCAAGTATTGAAGCAGAGATCGTAGTAGCAGATTTGATCTTTGATGCTGGAACCGTGGTGTGACCAAAAGAACACGCATACAGGCAGTTCCGAATTCCAAGACCTAGGATATAGTCTCTCCAGGCGAAAATCTTCAAGTTCTTGATCCACAGGACGAAACGTCGAGGAAGGTAAAAGCAATGTTGTGCTTCGAGTGCGTTGTGATTCTTAGTATACAGTGTATTTGGTTCAAAGAGGGAGGAGGAATGATAATATTCGGCATTTGTTAGAGTACAAAAGATGTCAACGCGTGAGAATGTTCATGTGATAAGACTATTGAGAAATTGACTAGGTACAAATTTGAGTCCGTTTGCCTAAAAAATCCATGGGATCATACATCTCAATCCACATTGCTAGTTTGCTCTCTTCCTTTTAGCTTCAAGTAGTTTGCTGTGATGCATGATTCTATGAAAATGATAGGAAGAGCGTTTCTTAATATCCATCGGAAGGACCTTAGCAAGGGTCACGCATAACATGCTTTTGCTTGATGTTTCTTGCTTTGAGCACAGTCATCACCCAGCATATAAGAAGCAGCTGCCTCCTCTCCATTGAAAATGGAATCTAGAAGTTTAAAATTAATCAAACTCCAACCACCTCATCTCAATTTGTTGATTCTGAATTATTAGCGTAACATCTTCTTCTAATATACTCAGTCTTCTATTGCCTCTTAGATTTGACTGATTAAGAATATTCTCGTCCTCTACTTGATCTACTCATCGATCTACAAAGCTCGAATAATCCACCATAAGCGAGAAAGATGAAGTCCAACGTTCTAGGCCATTTTAAACGCAAATCTGCAGTGGCGGCAGAGCAACGCGGTATTTCAGGCCTCCCAATCCGTACTAAGGGATCTCAAGAAACCGATAGCCTTCCTGATCCCCAACATCTTGTCCTAACCGAATATCGAATTGCAAACGAAACTTCTGGCACCAGACTCTTAAGTATGGGCGTTCTTTCCATTCATGAGTCCGATTCATATTGCGACATTCTAGCTGCAATTGAAGGCAAATCAAATGATTGGGAGACTATCCCATTAATCTGCAGAAAGAAAAGTATTGCGGTTAGATGGAAGATCGGTCAAGCTGCTAACGATGATTCGTATGACACTCTCTGTGGCCCTGATGTTGTCATGAAAAGACTCATACTCATGATGCGTGAGAGGCAATGGAAGGATCGACTGGTAGTCGTGTACTATGCAGAGGAGAATGATAGTAGTGACCGTAGTAAGAGCAGTGAGAGCAGTAAGAGTAGTATTAGTAGTTGGACAAGGGTCGGAAGCCAGGGGTCCATGAAGTTTCTCCAGAATCGTGATTAATAGCAGATGGCCTAGCAGAGAATCGGAAGCAAAGGAGCTTTCACCGAGTGCCTGACCATTCTACAAATCAAACAATTAGATCTCAGCACGAACAATGGATTAACGAGAACACTAGCCTCTGCTAAGAGAAATGTGATAAGATTGAACCCGACTAATATCCTTGAGACCCCGAAAAACTAGAAAGTTCTAGTATACATGACAAGGCTTTGCTTATCTAAGAAACTTCCTGGATTAATTTACCGCTCATTCCATTTCCATTAGCCTTTACTCCACCTTGAAACAAAGCACCAATAGGACCCTCCATCCATTCTTCTGGTACACCGATTTTATTTCCATCCTTATTGCTAACCCATCGCACAAAAAGTGGATTTGGCTTCTGAGGTTCTCCTTCAGGAGTTGCATCAACAGCTGGGCCATTGAGATCTCTGCGGCGAGCATTAGTCTTAGGCGCTTGCTTCTTGAGAAGCTTGTTGATTGTTTCCATCTAGAATTTGTGTCAGCCAGGGAAAGATGCAGCGAGTAGAATTTGGGTATTTAATTGTAGAATTTCATGAGACATAATTACCTTCTCTTCCTCGTTCCGTTTCTCACTAAGGTTCTTTCTTCTTCGCGCCATTTCAGCACGTCTCATGGCATGCTCCTCAGCAGTAAGATGTTTCTTCACTTGTACCTCTGAAAAAGACATTAGCGCGCGATTGAGAATTCATGGAATAACTTACCATCAGGAAGAGCCATGAGATATCCACTAGCAGCATCGTCGAATCTTGCTCTTTGCCTTCTCGTCAATTTGTTGAGATCGGGAGTAGAGGCTCTGCTTCCATTGGCAGGTGTTTCATCATCACTATCGAGTAACTCGTCCTCTTCTGCTGCCACTTCAATCTCTTCATCTTCCCCTTCTGCATCTTCGTCATTTCCACTCTGCATTACCTCTTCTTCCTCAAGTTCCTCTCCCAAGTCACTGTCGAGTTCACTGAGTTCATCATCATCATCGTCACTGAGCCCAATTCCTTGTTGTCCAACAGAAACAGCAGGTGCTTTGGGTGGCTCCGTCACCGTGATCTTGGAATTTCCAGCCGACGCATTTGAAACCTGAATGGTAGATGAAGTAGGCTGTACGTCCATATCGATATCTCCATCAGCATCTAAGTCATCATCTTCACCTTCCGCATCTGGATCGTCCTCTCCCTCGGCATCTTCCATTTCTTCATCCTCATCGTCACTTTCTGTTTCCAAAACATAGCTTTTTTTGACATTCCTGTTTCTCTTGCCCTCGAGGATTTCGCCGCCAACAAATTGATCTCTACTATTAACCATAACAGATGGGCCGGTGATCGGGCTAGATCGTGTCGCCTCTCTCAATTTACTTGATGACGTCTTGACGGTCAAACGCATCGACTCGGGACTATTTGATTGTAGTAGTGCCGGTCCACGTGATACGGTGGCCGACGAGGCGGGCTCTGGATTCGTGCGACGCGATCGCGATGACCTAGGAGATAGTTGTTCAGAAACAATAATTACGCCTCTTGCCTTGGCAGCGGCTGACCGCTGACTTCGACGTGTAGACATCTTGTTCTTACACCGCAATCAAATACAAGATGAACAAATTGAAGGGGGGATGTGGTAAAACTGAAGGATTCCTTGATCCACGATGATTTGTTTTGAGGTTATTGATAATACGGTAGAAAGATGTGGAGTGGTCTAAACACAATGGGTAGTGAATCAGATGGCGAGGGCTTTCGGGTCACTGCCTTGATTAGACAGAATTGCGGAGAATGACAGGTGAGCAGGCGCGTTGCATATAAACGCGCTGCTCTTACACAATTGACCGATCCTGCCTTTCCACCATTGACCAACCACGTAGCTAATAAGGTTCGTTCTTAGATGCCTCATATCCCCCTTGTTTGTACGACGATGGCAAGATATGATTATGATAAAAAACACGAGGGCTAAATCAAAAATGGGAATAGAGTGGACGGTTGAAGGTAACTCTTAATTACGGAGATTTGCGTGCGGCAACATGGTACAAAGAGCAAAGGGGCATTAACGCCGTTGTGAGAATAATGGAATTTCAATATCTGGAGACGCTTCGAAGACTTACTCGTTCTTGTTGGTGGCTGGCTCAGCCCTACCAGCTTTCCCACGGTGATCCGTCCAATCGATTTCCTCATCTCCCTCAGAATCAGTACTGAGTTTTCGTATGCGCTTACTGGGTCGTTCGGCTTTTCCTGACATTTTGATTATCTTTGATATCCACTTCGTAAAGTATGTTGATGCTCATTCGTAGGCTTGAACGTTTGAGGTATGTATGTAGACTCTAGAGTTGGACTGTGGCACAGTTTAATGATCGTTGCTCAGAAAGACACCCAAGTTTGAAAGACCGAATTAGATGGAAAGGGTGATATTGTATTGCCCAATATTAGAAGGATGAAGTATGAAAGAGATCTTTGGACACTACTGACTTCCATAATGATAATGTCGGTCACCGCAACAAATTTAGGTCCCGATTAGGACTACCGTTAGATTATGTCATCAACCGAGGCACAGCAAATACAATACCATTAAACACTGACACCGACAACCTACACATGCAGAGCTTCGAGAGTTTCCCATTAATTATCTAGAGGCTTCTTGAACAAGCAGCATTTTACAGAATGGGTGATTCCGACAACGAAGCTAAACCCCCAGGCGTGCCTGCATGGCAACTCAAAAGCGAGGCAAAAGGCGAGGCAGGACAGTCCAGTGAACCTCAGCCCCCAGCTATCGAGCCACTAAGTCGGACAGCAGTACTCGAACAAGCCAGGAAGTTCTTGGAGGAAGACGATGTCAAGAATGCATCTACGGATAAAAAGATTGCTTTTCTAGAAAGCAAAGGTCTCGAGGGGGATGATATACAAGAGTTACTGGGTGTATCGCGGAATGAT